TTTTGTTATTCTCAATAGCGTTAATAATTTACTTTCTTCACTCAGTCGTCCATTCCTTCTATTGGGTGACTTTAACTCTCATCACCAAATGTTTGGTTGTAGCACTACTGACTCCAATGGTGTACGTTTAGTTGAAATATTAGATTTACATAATTTGTTTTTACTTAATACTGGCTCACCAACCAGACGTACAAAGCCTAATGAAAAGCTTAGCGCGGTTGACTTATCAATTTGTACTCCAGATCTTGCTTCTTCTCGTTCTTGGTACACTTCATCATCTACTTTTGGCAGTGATCATTTCCCGATTATCATATCCTCACCAATTAGACGCTCTCCTTATCAAAAACGACAACCTCGTGTGAAATATAAATTAAATAATGCTGATTGGCTTGCATTTAAAAGCCTTGTCGAATCTAAAATAAATGATTTGCCTGAATTAGTTAGCGGTGGTGAGACCAATTCCTCTAAAGCTTTGGCTACATGCTTAATAGAATCTGCCGATCAGATTTTTTCTGTCAAACGAAATCCGTCTAATAAGATTCCTTTTCCTCCATGGTGGGATAGAGAATGTATGGTTGCTGTAAGCAGAAGAAAGGAAGCTGAGAGAGTCTATGCTGAGGACATGTCCAATGAAAATTTAGATATTCTCAATGAAGTTATTAGTACCACACGTAAATTCCTCAGAGATAAAAAGCAGGCAGGCTGGAAATTTTTTTGTACTTCTTTATCTCCTTCTACGTGCCCTTCAGAAGTTTGGACAAGTATTAAACGTTTTCGATCTGCTTTCAAAGAATCTTTATCATCGTCTTCACTTCCCCCTTTTTTAACCAATGCCTTTTTAGACAGATTAGCTCCTCCATCAGCTGCTGAATCGATCTACTTTCCTTTGGAATCGTCTTTGACAGATGACTCTTCCTCTTTAAACTCTCCTTTTTCATTACATGAATTGAAAGGTGTGCTTTCACATGTTAAGGATTCATCTCCTGGTCAGGATGGTATTATGTACTCATTTTTATCTCATCTTGGTGATACTGCCTTAATGTATTTTTTAAATTTAATAAACTCCGTCATGGTCACAGGTAATATTTCTGAAACATGGAAGTCTCAAGAAGTTATAGCGATTAAAAAACCTAACAAACCTACCAATGATGTTGCCTCATATAGGCCTATTGCGTTGTCCTCCGTTTTAACTAAAATTGCTGAACATCTTGTGAAGAATCGTTTGGAATGGTTTATAGAAAACAATAATTTAATAGCCAATAGTCAATACGGTTTTCGGAAGTCAAAATCTACAATAGACAATTTAGCTATATTAACCACAGATATTCGCATAGCTTTTTCGCGTGATGAAGATATTGTAGCTGCCTTTTTGGACATCTCTGCCGCCTATGATAATGTGAACATTTCTATTCTACAACACAAATTATTAGAGCTACAGGTTCCTACGTTATTAATACATTTTATCATCAATTTACTATCCTGCAGATACATATCATTAATCGTTCAGAAAGATGGTAATATTACCGAGTTAAAGCGTACAGTTTTTAAAGGCCTTCCCCAAGGTTCGGTACTAAGCCCACTTTTATATAATATTTACACGTATGATTTAGAATTATCTATAAATTCCCATATAAATGTGCTACAATATGCAGATGATCTTCTTTTTTATTCCGTTGATAAATCTGTGGTTAAGGCTTGCAATTCCATGTCTAGTTCACTTAATTGTCTTAATATCTGGTTAGTTAAAAATTACCTAGATCTATCAGTTTCCAAAAGGTCTATAGTCGTATTTTCCAAAAAACGCACAACTCCTATAATAAATGTGACCTTCAATGGTCAATCTTTGCCACTCCAAACAAAAATTAAATTTTTAGGAGTTATATTGGATTCAAAATTGTCTGGACTTGCCCATTATGAACATGTTGTTATGAAATGTGCACAGCTGCTTAACATCATGAAATGCCTTTCAGGTGTATGGTGGGGTGCTCATCCGTTTTCTATGAAACTTGTGTATAACGCTCTTATAAGATCTGTTTTAGATTATGGCACATTTCTCTTAGATGGAGGAAGTGTCTTGGGAAGTCAAAAACTTGATGTCATTCAGTCAAAAGCTTTGAGAATTGTGACAGGAGTAATGAAATCAAGCCCATCCAACGCTTTACAAGTTGAATGCTGCGATCCTCCTTTAAAATTAAGAAGGCAATTTTTAAGTGATCGATTCTTGTTCAAATCTATGCAGTTTTCTAACCACCCTCTACATAGAAAACTGCATGAATTGAACAATATTATTCATACATCCCGTTACTGGCGTCACAAATCATTACCATGTCTAATAATAAGCTTTCGTAAATTTTTAACATTACACAGCCGCATTCATCGATCTCCATCATTACCCATATTTATGACACAATTCAATTCTTTAATTCTTGATCCGGATATAAGATATAATATAGGCGTCTGTAAGCAAGATATTCTGGAAACAAATATTCGTTTCATGAGTAGCGTTGAGGAACAAAATTGGGAAGGTTGGGATTATATTTTTACAGATGCCTCTAAAATCTCTGTTGATGATTGTGTTGGAGTTGGTCTAATTCATTGGCAACATAAAATAATTCAAAAGATTAAACTTCCTCCTGAATCCTCAGTTTTTACTGGAGAGTGTTTTGCTCTTTTAAAAGCTTTAGAACTAGTTATTTTATTAAAATCTAAAAGAACAATCATATTTTCAGACTCAAAAAGTGCACTACAATCTCTTGAAAAATCTCCTTTCCAAATGAAATTTTGTTATCCTATTATTTGCGAAATACGTGATAAGCTTTTAATATGTTCTCAAAGAAATTACACCGTTATCTTTGCATGGATTCCAAGTCACAGTGGGATTAAAGGAAACGAGAAAGCCGATGAGCTTGCTAAAGAAGCTATAAAGGATGGAGACATAGTCCCATACATCAATTATTGTCATGATTTAGCTGCTCTTCCGAAAACCCATCTTTGGGAGTCATTGAATGATGTTTGGTTGAGAAGCAGCAAGTTCAAAGGCAAACATTATGCTGAAATTCAACCTAGGATCCCCAGTAGACCATGGTTCTTTGAGGTTAAAAGTTCTAAAACTGTCACTTCTATCATTTCCAGAATGCGTTTAGGACATGTTTGTACACCTCATCATTTAGCAAGGCTTCGTATTGTTGATAGTAATATTTGTGAGTGTGGAGAAGATATTGGTGACCTCGACCATATTTTCTTTTCTTGTTCCCAATATGACCGTACCTCCTTTCTGAATTCTTTACAATCACTTCATGTTCCGTTTCCGACTAAAATCTCCTGCCTTTTGCTTTATCCTTTATTGTATTATAATGTATTATCTTCTTTCATAATCTACGTAGTTGGTCCCAAAGTTCTGTCACTGGCACATTATTTCTATATTTCGAGCAGGATTTTATAAAAAAGTTATTGCATTCTATTTTGGAATGTTTGACTATTGTTTTAAAATAAAAAACAATAACTTTCAGTAAGTTTTCACGACGGAGTGGACATTGAAAGAAGACCGAATAGTTGTTATGTGTTGACGTGTGGGACTCGCCGAGTCCATTTCAAGTTGTCAAAAATTTTAATATAACGCTTAGGTTTGTGTACGGTACTATTGATAGGTACCTTGAAGTCTCCAGTGTTGAGGACAAGAAAATAACTGGCCGGCCACGCTCCGCAAGAACACCAGCAGTAATCAAAGCTATCAAAGCGCGGATAGTAAGAAATTCTGTCCGAAAACAGAAGTTGATGGCTTTGCAGATGGTTGTCAGTAGGAAAACAATAAAAAAGGTTTTAAATGAAGATCTTGGTCTAGAGCATACAAAAAAAAGTGGGAACTTACTTAATGCTCGTCTAAAAGCAATAAGGCTTAAGAGATCGCGGTGTTGTTTAAGGGTAGCGAAAAACCGACACCGTGATATCCTCTTTACGGACGAAAAAAATTTCGATAATGAAGAGAAGTACAATAAACAGATTGATACAGTGTACGCTAGGAGTTTGAAGAAGCTAAAAATAAAGTTCCAAGGGTACAACATGGACATCATCCATCATAGTAATGGTCTGGTTGGGAGTGTCCTATTACGGGCTAACTGAGGTTCATTTTTGCAAAAGGGGTAAAACCAGAGCTAAAGTGACCGAGAACGGTTTGATTGTAAAGACCTGTCAGCACCCTATTTGCGGAATACTTCGTGTTAGAGTACTTGAGCCTGCATACAAAGCCAAGACCACTAAAGCCTGGTTTGAGCGTCAAAACATCGATTTAATTAGACATGAGGATTGGCCTTCCTCCAGTCCGGACCTTAATCCTTTGGACTATAAATTTTAGAGGTCTTAGAGAGGAAGGTTGTGATACACCCCATAAAAATTTGGAGAGTCTGAGTGTCTTTAAAAACTAGTCACTGAAATCGACATGAAATGGTGGTGCTGGATAGACGACTGGCCGGGGTTAAGGGCTGTATTAAAAATAAGGGAGGTATTTCGAATAAGTTTATGTATTTCTATTCCTTAATTAATGTACTATAATATATATCACTATTAAAAACTGATAGTATTTTGTTTTATGAATTATTTATGACAGAACTTTGGGACCGACTACGTATAATAATATTAAGATGTAATATGTTTTTGTACATATTTTGTTTGTAACCAGCTTATCCCTTTATTTCCTTTTGATGTCTTTGTTTATTTTATTTCGCGTGTAGTTTCCCAACCTTTTACTTGAAACTGGCATAAAGTTGAAGCTGTTGCCAAAAAGTTTAAAAAAAAAAAAAAAAAAAAACTTCAAAAGTTCAAACTGTTTGTCTGACTAATATCTTGTCTATTCGTGAATATCTTCGTCCCACCTTTGTTCCATTTTGTTCTCGTGTTTTTAATTTTATTTTATTACAACGAAAGCCAAACATTTTCAGCCGACGTTAAGGCGTAGGCAAGGAAGCATCGAGCGTGATGTGAGGGCTCGATACGAGCGTGCTTCCATGTCTGATACACAGGCGAGGGGCCAGCAGGCCATGTTAGATTCCAGACGTCCGTTCTTCTACCCAGATAGCAGTAGTGATACAGAGGAGTATAGAAGGGACAGCGAAGAGCGTCGCAAGAGATTATCTAGACGCAACATTTCCAACGTACGTAGACCAAATATGATGTCGAAAACTCAGTCTCCTAATGCACCTATACCATCCACTTCCAGTCAAGAACCGAAGACAGACAAGAAGAATCTCATCGGTGAAGACAGAATAACTTTAGTAGTTGATAATACTAGATTTGTTGTTGATCCTGCTCAATTCACTGCACATCCAAATACAATGCTTGGAAGAATGTTTAGTTCAGGTAAGATCAAACACTCCTAAGAACTCTAATGTTTAATTGAACTAAATTAGGGAGCAAGAGTGCATAAAATGCACTTAATATATTGATTACTGATATGATTTACCAGTAAAAAATTACAATTTCTAAATAATCAAGGGACAAGAAAATAAAACTCTGATCATTATGCATTTAAACACATAATTACTTTGAAATTAACAATACAATTTTAAATAAATATGTTGGATGTGTTGCAATATTTATTTTCCATCATCCATTAATTCCTATCTAATCTTCGATGTTATCAAATTATTTAATAACTTCATAACAGTCCTATTGCGTTTCATATACATCTCTATCAAAAGATAACAGATACAAATAGATGTTTAAGTGATTAAGTGGATATGCCTTAAGACTTTGTCAACATAGGTGATTTTTTATTTCCTGACTAAATACCAAATTTAAATGACTTGTCATAACTGTATAATTTTAATTTAGAAAGTTCAAATTAATACTTTGTTCAAGTGACTTAAATTAAAGAAATTTAAAATTTAAATTCCCAAACTATTTAAGTGTATAGCATTTTAAGAGAAAAAAATTCTTAGAAATGTTATTGCATTCTTGTATATACATTAATTTATATTTATGTATAATAATCTTTAAAGAGGTCATACAGCAATTGATAAAGCTCAATGCAGATTGCATCTTCCTTCCCATATATGTGTAATTAAAAATAGTTCAGCTGTGGCTGTGGCAACACATATATATATGGTAATATATATACATGTGTTGCTTTATTGATAAGACATTCATTTGTAAATTTTCTAAAATATCATATGTAGTTTATGAGCAAAGCACAGAAGTTATTACTTCTAAAACCAATGAGTTACTATTAATTTGTTAACACTTACATATAAAAAGACATACTACCATATATAGAAATATAGTAGATATACATACAGAAATAACAGGCTAACTGGTTTATATATGTATTAATTAAATTTTAGGCATAGACTTCACACATACCAATGAGCGTGGAGAATATGAAGTGGCTGAGGGCATCTCGGCCACAGTATTCAGAGCAATTCTAGAGTACTATAGAGGTGGCACTATCCGCTGCCCTCCAACGGTCTCTGTGCAAGAGCTAAGGGAGGCTTGTGATTATCTCCTGGTGCCTTTTGATGCCAATACTGTGAGGTGTCAGGTGAGTGTGTTACGTTTATTAATGATATTTTGAATTGCAAGCATACATACATTATACATAGTGTGAGGTTACATCCATAACTGTCATTTTTCTATTTTGAACAGTACACTGTTATTAGGCTTGTTACGTAACTCTATACCATGGAATCTGCATTTTGCAATTTATAAAAGTTACACATTCCTCAAATTGCATGGTGTCAGCATTTGTTACCCTGTGGAACCTCATTCTTTTGATATTTTCTGCATATTCAAAGTCCTAACATCACATAGTTTTGACATACCTAACATTAATTGTAATTTTTATTAATTGACTTGAGTTTTTTTAAACCTTTGGGGGTGGACTTCATAATTTTAATAATTATGTTATGTATTCTTAAAAATAATTTTGTTTTATATACTATAAAATTACGTATACTTAAAAAAACAAAGTAATAAAAAACCTTTTAGAATCTCAGAGGCCTTCTTCATGAACTATCAAATGAAGGAGCTCGCCGTCAATTTGAGACATTCCTGGAGCGTCTTATTCTACCACTGATGGTGGAATCTGCTCAGCGTGGTGACAGAGAGTGCCATGTAGTAGTGCTATTGGATGATGACTCCGTGGAATGGGATGAGGAGTATCCTCCCCAAATGGGAGATGAGTACAGTCAGACAGTACTTTCCACTCCATTGTACCGATTCTTTAAGTATATTGAAAATAGGTAAGAATCTTTAACTATTTACAATCCTTTGTATGTAATTATAATCTATACTAATATTATAGAGCTAATTAAGTGAGGGCCAGCGGTGAATCCTAAAAAAACAAATTTTATTTTTTTTTTTTTTTATGTAATAGGAGGCAAACGGGCAGGAGGCTCACCTGATGTTAAGTGATACCGCCGCCCATGGACACTCACAATGCCAGAAGGCTCGCAAGTGCGTTGCCGGCCTTTCAGGAATTGGTACGCTCTTTTCTTGAAGGACCCTAAGTCGAATTGGTTCGGAAATACTTCTGTGGGCAGCTGGTTCCACATAGTGGTGGTGCGCGGCAAAAACTGCCTTAGAAAACGCTCTGTTGTGGAACGACGGACGTCGAGGTGATACGGATGGTATTTTGTATTTTGCCTTGACGTCCGATGATGAAACTCAGCTGCAGGTATTAGACCGAACAACTCCTCTGAACACTCTCCATGGTAAATGCGTTAGAAGATGCAGAGAGATCCCACATCTCTACGCAACGCCAAGGGATCAAGCCGCACGGAAAGTGACTGGTCGTCGACGATTCGAACCGCTCTTCGTTGAATACGGTCAAGTGGAAGGAGCTGGTACTGGGGAGCTCCCGCCCAGAGGTGAGAGCAGTACTCCATATGGGGCCGAATTTGCGCTTTATATAGTTGCAAGCGGTGGCCCGGAGTGAAGTACCGTCTCGCCTTGCTGAGCACACCAAGCTTTTTGGAGGCTAATTTAGCCTTTCCTTCCAGATGACCGCGAAACTGAACGTTATTCGATATGTCAACGCCCAGTATTCCGATGCTAGCTGAGGCTTTAAGGAGAGTGTCTTCAAAGAGGGGAGTAGCGACAAAGGGAGTTTTTTTAGCGGAAAACGCGCATACTTGTGTCTTCTTGGGGTTAAATTGGACTAGATTTAGTCTACCCCAGTCCGAGACTCCACAGAGGTTTCGACTTGCACAAGTTTGTTCCGGTACTCATCGACAACAGCCCGAGAAATACCTGCCCGGCCAGTGTAAAAAGTATCCCCAGTGCTGTCGTCCGCATAGCAATGAATGTTGCTAAGCTGCAACATATCATTGATATGCAGAATAAACAGGGTCGGGGATAGGACACAGCCTTGTGGGACACCAGCATTCACAGGTTTCAGGTCGGAGCATGCTCCGTCGATGACGACTTTGATGCTCCGATCAGCGAGAAAGCTGGAAATCCAGTTGCATAATTTCTCAGGGAGCCCATAGGCTGGAAGCTTTGAGAGCAGTGCTCTGTGCCACACCCGATCGAAGGCTTTCGCTATGTCCAAACTTACCGCCAGCGCCTCCCCCTTGGACTCAATTGCCTCTGCCCACCTATGTGTAAGGTATACAAGGAGGTCACCAGCCGAGCGACCACGACGGAAGCCGTACTGAGAATCGCTAATCAGCTGGTGGCCCTCTAGATACCTCAAGAGCTGGCTGTTAATAATGGTTTCCATTATTTTGGAGAACAAGGAGGTTATAGCTATTGGGCGATAGTTGGACGGATCAGAGCGATCGCCTTTTTTAGGGATCGGATGTATCGAAGCGATCTTCCAGCACTTCGGAACAGTGCCGAGCGTGTAAAGGTACCGGAAAAGGCGCGTTAGGACCGGAGCCAACTCAGGAGCACAAGTACGCAGCACAATTGGAGGGATGCCATCAGGCCCGCTCGACTTATGGATGTCCAAGGAAGACAAAGCTTTACGGATAGCACGTTGCCGGAATATAACTTCGGGCATCGTAGTATCACACCGCAATAATGTCGGTGGTTCCTTCCCTTGATCATCCAAAGTGGAGTTCGACGCAAAGAGACAGCCTAGAAGATCGGCCTTCTCTTTCGCGGTATGGGCAAGTGAGTCATCCTCCCTATGCAGTGGTGGAATTGAGGGCTGACAGAAATTCCCTTGGACAGCTTTGGCAAGAGACCAGAAGGCTCGAGTTCCCGAAGGGAGGTGGGCCAATTTCTCACCAAATCTGGCAATGTGCTCTGACTTTGCTTTAGCGATTTCTCGCTTGAAGGACCTGGAGGCTGAATTGTATGCTTTTTTACGTTCGCCGATAGTCACATCACAGGATGTCACCGCTTCTGCCCAGGCTTTAAAGCATTCACGCTTACGGCGCAAAGCCGCTTTGCAGGAACGCCTAAACCAAGGCTGGGACTTGCCACCGACCGGCACCGCAGAGAATGGAATAAAGAGTTCCATACCCTGCAGGACCACCTCGGCGACAGAGTCAGCGACGGCATCTGGAGTACTCGACGAAAAGCAAATGGGCCCCCAAGGGTAGGACGCAAAAAAGACCGCATCCCATCCCAATCTGCTGACTTATAGTGCCACACGCGGTGACAGCCCGTGAAGCTAGGCCGAAGAAGGCGCGTGAACGGCACAATGCTCCGGACCACACAATGATCTGATGAACCCAATGGCGGTTCAACAGAGACTTGGTAGTTCTCCGGATGTGAAGTCAGCAGAAGGTCCAACAAAGAGGGTTTATGACCATCCACATCTGGTATTCGCGTAATCGCAGGGACCATTTGCGTCAAGTCATAAGCCAAAGCAAAGTCGTGAAAGGATCTTCCCGCATGATCGGTGGTTTCTGAGCCGAGCCAATCGGCATGGTGGGCGTTAAAATCGCCAAGTATCACGATTTCAGCGGTAGGAACCCTTTCGAGCAGGGAATCTGTAGCCATTTGGATGTGCTCAATGAGTCGGTCAGTTTCGGTATTTCCGCTATGGGACCTATACAGGCATGCATAGAATCGCGGATGGTCATCGCAGTCTACGCGCAGCCAGAGGTTAGATAGGTCCCTTCCTTCAAGCGTCCCGAGGCGACGAGAACAGATATCCTCTCTGACGTACACGCAAACTCCCGCCCGCGGCACAAATGAATGTTCCAATTTGTACCCCGGGTAGGAGAGGTAGGAAGTATCAGCCGGGGAGGAAATCTGAGTCTCGGTAAGAAAGAGCAAGGCCGGCTTCGCAGTCTCTAAATGGTAGTAGACTGCGTTGATATTAGAATTGAGCCCCCTAACATTTGTGAAGTCCACAGCGAGCGTGGACGGGGGTGCCTTTGTTGAGTTGCTCCGTTTGCCCCGAGAACGATAACTGTTTTTGATGTTGAGCGCAGAATTGCCCCCCCCAGAATACGAAGGGCAGCCTGTGCGTCCACCACCGGGTGCTGAATGTCCCGGTGTTGGACGCCCAGAGGGGGATTCTCCACCGCGAGCGCGTGTGGTACCCCCCTGGGGGTAGATTCTCTTTTTTCTGCACCTTCATATTTCATGGGGGGGGGGGTGGGCTCCGGGAGTCTCTCTCACCGCACGAAACGCGAGTACAATAAGGTGAACTTATTGCACTTCGGGTTTTCTGAGAGACAGTGGTACTGCCCCGGTCGTGCCTGCCCATTTGGCTGAAGCCCGAAGGCAACAGCATGGCACTCCCACTAGGAAGGGGTTGACTGATTGCGCTGATGAAATAACCTCTGTCACAGGTTATTTCACCAGTGGGCGATGGGGTCGTCACGTCCCGACGCCAAAAAATGTATTTAAATTACTTTAATTAATCACTAGTACAATAATTAAGACTTAATTAAATATAACTATTTAATCGGCCCGATATTAGGTGCACAACAAATAATCTATATTATAAACTGAACTAGTTAAGAATTGACCGGTCTGATGTGAGGTATCCGATCAAAAGCTTCTGATCTCTGTTGTCCATTTCCTTTTATAACAGTGTTGCGTAAGAGGGGTACAGTTATTGGTTATGGGGGGCAAAGGGAGTGCAATGGATATGTAACAAGCTGAAGGGTTTGTTTATTTGAAAATACTGAACCATTATTAACTGAACTAAAACTGTTATTATATGCAGTTTTCACCAATGCATTATGTGCAGGTTGAAGCAATGTTTAGGCTATAACTTATTGAAATTTGATGTCATAAAAACAGTTATTGACATTTCATTTTGAAATAGACAGGGTGGTCAAAAATTCAAAATTTATATACTCACCAATTACTAACTGGACTAACGACGGACTGGACGGATTGTTTTCATAGTTTATGTAGAAATTAAACAACCTGAACAACTAATATATTAAATTAATAATTACTATAAATAAATAAGACACAAAGAAATTAAGTAACAACCAAACAATGCCGGAAAAGGACAATTATTTTATTAATTTAATATTGTAAGTAGATAGATTTGTTTAATTTGTTAAACCAGCTCATTAAATAAAAGACACTTAGTCTGCATTACTGATATATTTTACATTTTGTTTATGTGCACTGTACTGCTGTTGCTAGCTAGTTCATAATTAATTCCATTCAAATATTTCCAGAGACGTCGCGAAACAAGTAATGAAAGAGCGCGGTCTTAAGAAAATCCGTTTAGGCGTCGAAGGCTACCCTACATACAAGGAGAAAGTCCGCAAAAGGCCCGGAGGCCGCGCTGAAGTGATATACAACTATGTGCAGCGGCCCTTTATTCACATGTCCTGGGAGAAGGAGGAAGCTAAAAGCCGACATGTGGACTTTCAATGTTTTAAATCGAAATCCGTCACTAATTTGGCTGAAGCTACTGCAGATCCTGTTACCGGTGAGAGATTGCACGCATCCGAAACGATTTAATCGATTTGTCTGTGGCTCAGAATTTAAATAATTAAAAAAACAATAAAAATTTCGTTACAAAGTAATAAGGATGCTAACAATTTATTTAGTCATGTATGTGATTCCTGTATAATTAATTTTCCAGAATTGGAGCCGGTGAGGGCCCGTGAAGAGGTGGAGGCACCAGAGAACCCCGAAGAGCAGCCGGAGGAGCAGTGACTATCAGTCCCGAAGGCCGTACAACTCGTGATGGCCATGTTTTGTTGGTTTATATAATCCTATGGCCATTTAAATGTGCAATGGCCGTATTGATTGTCTAGATTGATAGCATTCTGTCAGGAGGTCGTTTATCATTTCACAGAAAGAAATGCGGAAACGTTTTGAGACAATGTTGGTGAAAGTTGTTGTTTTATGAAACCGCTCAACACCAAGATTTTATATCTTCAATTTGTATGCGATGAAGAATGTCTACAGCAAATGTTATGTAATAGTTAAAGTATGGTTATAATATATAGCAAGGATATGGGAATTAATAGTTTAATAACAGCGAGTAAATGTATGATATATCAATAAAATTTTGAAGCGCTTAAACCGATGGGTCTGAGGATTTTTATTCGACAATATGTCGATATAATTCAGACTCAATTGGAGATTTCATGGAAAAGAAATGTCTAAATCGTCCAAGTTATATGTAAACTTTCCAAAATACTGTATAATTAAATCACTGTTGGATTCGCGCTCACCTTAACTGTTCACCTATTTAACTAGATATGCTAAACGCTATAAATATTGTATTTTATGCGCAAAAAAATGATAATTTTAAAACAAATTGTCGCGTTTTTTGCCGATTTGCTAAACTTTTATAACGGTTCTTTTTTAATAAATTGGTAATAAAAATTTTGTTTTATTTATTAATAGTGAAGGTAATATAAAACACAGACATGAGAAATACTCCCGTAAAAAGTCAATAAAAAAGGATCATAATGATTAATTTAATTTACAATAGTAAATAAATTGGGGCATTGTACAATAAAATAAACTGTTGGTATGCAATATCCGTTTCACCGCCAGATGGCGCTGTACATAATAGCAACGAAAGAAAACTATAAAACGCAGTAACTTCCATCCAGTATCAAAACTAAAACCCTTAGTATTTTTTCCTTACTAGGGTTGCCTGGAAGAGATCGGTTGTTAGCAATAAGGCCGCCCATTGCATCCCTAATAATTTATGTTAATTACATAAATATTTATTATCAACACACAAGTATACAGTATCTACAATATTCTTAACCTACATAGTAATAATAATAATTAATAAATAGAATAAAAACTTTATAAACTTATTATTTTTAAAGTTTTAATAAATAAAACATCGCTAATTGCTATTTTTATTTGTTTATTAAAAAAAGTATCAAATTTGTTAAATAAAATCTGGGCTAACATAAATTCCAATATCGTAGCTCAGTCTGCTTCCCCTCTCGCTTTTGATTCGTAAGTTAACAAACGGATAGCCAATTCCACCCGCCGTTATGTTGACTGACGCCTTGCTGTGGTCGTTGTCCAATGCTTGTATACCCTGAAGAGAATTTTTGCTATCTTAGATTAAAATACAAAGTCAGCAGATAACAAATGTTGTCATGACGTAACAACGTAACAAAAGAGGCGGAGAGTTTATTGCTAGTTCTTCTCTTCCGTTCTACGCCCTTGATTTGACAACTGGTAGTAAATGTAAAATTAGAATCATTTCATATACTTATATTTATTTTTTGACGTTCATAAGTGTACATTTTGTTACCTATATGAATAAATGTTTATTTGAAATTATGTGTCTAAAACTTATCAGTGGAACCGTCGAAATGTTTCCATCTATGATCATATATGTATAGTATAGAAGTATAGTTTAATTCTGATTCTAAAACATGTATCAGATAACCTTTATTAACTTGGCATTCCATTTTACGCAGTCGCCTTTTTCATAATCATGTTACACGAGTAATACCGCGAGAATTAAGCGCGTAAATAAATTTTAAAAACTCACCCGTATAGGTTTATTGGTAGGTGAGGAATAAAAGAAAGATTTGATCCTCTTGAAGAACGGCATGGCATTGTATTCAAAGTCTTCATGATGGGCAAGAACTACTCTATCAGCTACATTTCCGACCACCAAATGCGTGCAATTCACTAAACACACCCCTGACACGATTAAAACCAATAACCCTAGCAACCTCATTATAAATAACAATGAAAAATAATGAATCGATGTTTCTCCTAACGCGTAATATTTGCTTCTAGTGATTTAAGGTCACGTTATCAAGAGGGCAAGATGTGACTGTAATTTATGTGGTTTTGCGTACGTCTTGTGAGTCATTATGCATTTCTATGAGATGATGTAATGTCGGCCACGGTTTAAATATTGATTTGCCAGAGCCTTGACATCATAGAATAAAGGTTGCAACACCATTAGATGTTTAAGAATCCTATAGAGTTCAGAAACAGCAAAGAAGTTCAAATATTATAGTCTGCGTAGCAAAAGGTTTCTAGATAAAAATGAGAAAAAATAAACGTATGGTCACTCCACTTTGTATCTAAAATATATACTAACACACATATCAGTTTTATCCTCAACCTTTTCTTAGAATTGTAACATATTTAGTAACAAATACATATGTGTGTTGCGAAATATTCTCAACAAATATTCTTAAACTATAATTTCTGTGATAAACAGAAATATTCATACATAGATAATGTTTGGAAATCTCTCAACTGCATATAAGTCACTTTCTTCCCCCATTTAGCAAAAGACTGAATCGATTTTCATAAAACACCTTTAAGAACCATCGCTGAAAAACAAGCTTTGTAACAAGAAATCGTATCTAATCACAGTAAATTTACTTAGAAAATTGTAAGGCTTTTAATTATAATTTACAACCCGTTACCAAATCAAGGGCGTAGACCGAAAACTAGAAAGAAACTAACACTCGTAGCGGTTAAACTTATTATTAATCGGTTAAAAATTAAATATAACGAAACTGTTTATCATACAACAGACTACATAATAGGCATTTAAATGAAACATTGGAAATGTAAGGGAATATTTATTTAAATATACTTATGGACTAGGTTCGCAATCGACAGCAACCACTTCGTAAATTTAACTCATGCTATTGCTAAAATTAAAATAAATGTAAAAATGGCAAAAAAAAGTGGCTGGCATGGAGCTTCATCGTTGGATAAGCACTTATTTTTAAAGCTAGAAAGAACTAAAAGTAGGCAAAGCAAAACATTCCAAGGTGCCATAGTTGCCTCGCTGACTCCGTGTTGTCAGTTTCTCATCAACATCTCTTAATATTGAATTAAGGGGTGGAATTCTATATTAGCTTTCCGGTTGCATTAGATCGGAATGAAAATAGTGAAAGAATCAGTCTTTTCCGATAGTATTATTAAACATACAAACAACGCCTTTTTATTACCATTATACATAATATAGATTTATATCACGTATAAAGAATATACAACTACAAATCAGAATTTAAGAAATCATAATAATCTCTCTCCAACGCCTTCAAAGCGCCCTCCGTGGCAAGCAACGCGTTCTGCTTCTTCAGATTGTCTATGAGAGCCATTTGCTTGTCAATGCGGGTAGTCAGGCATTTCACTTTCGCTTCCAAACGGCAGATTGCATTCTGATGCGACGCAGAGAGGTTGCGTGTCGCGTCGCGGAATTCCTAAAGATTTAAAACTTATTGTAAATATTTGTTTCATGATCAAATGAAATGGTTTTTATACGATTAAGATCTATAATATTTTTTTATTTTTTTTGTAAGTTAGTTTCGTTATAGTATATTTCCTTAATTAGAATAAAGTTTTTTTTTAATAGAACGGGGCAAACGGGCAGGGTGCTCAAACTCAAGCTCACCTGATGTTAAGTGATAGCCGCCCATGGACACTCAATACCAGAGGGCTTGTGAGTGTGTTGCCGGCCTTTTAAGAATTGGTACTCTTTTTTTGAAGGACCCTAAGTCGAATTGGTTCGGAAATACTTCAGTGGGCAGCTGGTTCCACATAGTGGTGGTGGCAAAAACTGCCTTAAAAACGCTCAGTTGTGGAACGACGGACGTCGAGGTGATACGGGTGGAATTTCGTATTCTGCTTTGACGTCTGATAATGAAACTCAGCTGCAGGTATTAGACCGAACAACTCCTCTGGACACTCTCCATGGTAAATGCGGTAGAAGATGCAGAGTGACCCCACATCTCTACGCAACGCCAAGGGATCAAGCCGCTCGGAAAGGGATTGGTCGTGAACGATTCGAACAGCTCTTCGTTGAATACGATAAAGTGGATATTATTGTAATGTTTTCTTGTCTTGAGGAGAAAGACAAAAAACCCGATAGTAAATGTAAATTTAGAGAGAAACGTTTATAAATGTACAATATTAATCTAAATGAGGATATATTTTCTGACTTCGATTTAGATAAAAACATGTTATTCTGAAAGCATAGACACGTATTTCTTACTTTTTCAGCCATTTTGGAGGCTTCGAGTTGTTGTTTGAGCGTCGCAATCGTTTCTTCGTGAGCAGCACAACGCGCTTCGACATTCGCGTTCTTATATCGCAAGCTTTTAGCCTCGTTCGTCAGTTTGTCCGCTAGACTTCGCTGTTCCTTGTACAGGCGGTCCTTTTCCTGAAATATATTTAATATGCCAGACAAAGAATACCTACGAAAATAATATAATAACATCCTCAACAGTGTGTAAAAGAATTAAAATTTTGTTTGTCTGATTAAGATACGTTTTCATCGCATCGGGGAGGCCCGCTTCATAGATAGCACTTTTTTAAGTGTATATTGTAAGGGCTAGTTGATCTACCTACATCTTAGGGAAGGAAATTAAACACTCCAATGATGACTTGATTCACTTCACTGATTTTACGTAAACTCTATAACTTCAAACTTGAACAATAGAATAGAACCTCTTTTATAATCTATTCCCTACTCTGACCAGACCATCCCAATTCGGGCAGTAATTCGAGTCAATTTGTAACAATTCGTAAACAACCGAACGAGTCAAATGAGTAACTATTGCACATGCGCACTTGTAGTAAGATTCTTAAGAATATGTTTCATAAAAAATGTTTAGAATTTAGTTTAATAAATATTAAAAGCTAACAACATTAAGCCGTAGGCCTGTTCGAACCCATATTTCCATTTCAGGGATAAAAAGGGCTCTTCAACTGATACACAAAATAGTAAAAAGGTTAAGAAATGTGTAGAGTATTTGAATAAAATATAAACAATTATTTTAGTTTTTAAAATCGAATATGTAAAAAAAATCAACGGCGCTACAATCTTTTGAGTTCTGGGGCTCAGATTTCTGTACCTGTTTCATGATCATTTGTAAGTCTAATAGCCAAGTAGGTGATCAGCCTCCTATGCCTGACAGTCGCCGTCGACCTTTTGGGTCTAAGACAATCGGGAATCGAACCTACGACCTCAGAGATGAGAGTCGCACGCTGAAGCCACTAGGCCAACTCTGCCCTCGTATGTAATTGATAACTTACATTAATTCTATTATTGGAGGCAGCATACTTTGCTTTGAGATCAGCATTTTCCGATCTTAAATTATTCGCTTTATTCACCAAAGTCAGTCTTTCACTCTCCAATCCAGCCAGTTGGGTCATGTGGCTCTCACATTGTTTACCCTGAGAAAAAATTCATTTTTTTTAAATATTACATCTAAAACATAATTCTACTCTGTGGTTTTACAGTAACCTAGTAATATTTAATCGTCTGTATTTTAAAAAGGGCGGCAACGCAATCGCGAGCCCTCAGTCATTGAGTGTCCATGGGCTGTCAATCACTTAACATCAGGTGAGCCATCCTGCCCGTTTGTTCTATAAAAAAAATCTGATGTGTTATTCAAGGCGCCCTGAAAACGGTGATCGCTCTGAATTGTCCACCTTTTGCCCAATAGCTATAACATTCTTGTTCTCCAAAATCATAAGAACCCTTATTAACCACCAAATTACTAAGCAGCTCTCGAGATACCTAGAGGGCCACCAGCTGATTAGCGATTGAAAGAACTTCTCTGGATGTGGTCGCTTAGCTGGTGACATTCTCGTTTATCTTACACATAGATAGGCAGAAACAGGCCTTCCATTGGGCTGTGGCACAAAGAGCTTGTTTCGAAGCTTCCTTCCCAAGAAATTATGCAACTGAATTTCCAGGTTTCTAGGTCAGGTAGAGGAGCTAGGTCATTATTGACGGGGCAGCCCCGACCTTAATCTCGTGAACGCTGCGGATACATGGCTGTGTCCCGAAACTATGTCTTCTGTATATTAAAGATAATATGTTTCAACTTAGCAACTAGGAATACTCTTTACACTGGGTTTATTTCTCGGGTAGTTGTCTGAAGTTGAAACTGTGCTACCTGGAGTCTCGGACTGGGGTCTTCTTGGGGTTAAATTAGGTAATCTAGTCCACATCTGGAAGACACAGGATTGAGGATTTTTGGGCTAAAAAACACCCTTTGTCGCTACTCCTCCTAAGTCATTCTCATTAAAAACCTCCTCTTACTGGTACTCTTATCGGTGTCCATGGATTGCAGTATTACGTAACATCACGTGCGCCGGCCCGTTTTTATATTGTACCTTCTATATAAAGCATAAGATAAGGTATAATAAAAATATAAGATCCAGAATTTCAGAGAAATAAAAAGTATCAATTGAAATTAACATAGTACATACATAACAACAGTTTATGTCTCATTTTAGTATGCTTTATAAGCAAGAGAATATGTTTAAATATGTGATTTATTTTCTTAGAGTTTAATGTGCACTAATTAAACATTAGAAAAGCCTGCAAACACTTAACAATGGAGGACCATTTTTGCTAGTAAATCTTACCATTTTATCTATATTTGCTTGCAATTTGTCAATCTGTTCTTGCATTAATTTCAATTTGGCTGATAGAAACTTGCATACATTTTCAATATTCACACCACCTGAAATATAAAATTAAAAGTTATATTATAAATATGCAGATTAGTTTCATAATATAGTGTTAAGTTTTAATTGGCAATACAATCAAAGTTTTTGAATCTGATATCTGTTTATTAATTATTCAATGTGAACCTTATTAATAGAAAGGGCCAAACGAACTCTATATGTAGTATATTTTAAAACTATGAATGGAAGTCTAACAACACAATGATATACATACCCTTTAAAAATGACTGTGGCAAAACATTATCCTTAACATTAACTGAGACAAAAGCATACAAAAATTCCAAATCATTATTCTTCTTAGTACTTAAATTGCACCATTCACAAACATATTTTGTTACACATTTTTTTATTTCTATATCTGTATTATCAACGTTTCTAATATCAATCTTTTTACTGTTGATTTTTTTGGGTGTCCCATTTTCTGTAGTTTTTGTTGTTCCACAGATTTTGGCTGATGATTTAATGCTTGGCGTATCACAATAGTGCCTTTTACTATGGTGGTTTATAGGACTTGATAAGGGACCTGCAAACTCTGAAAATATGTCCTGTCTTTGCTGTGGACCAGATAATTTTACAACTTCAATATACTTACAACACATGAAATATAACGTTCAAGTAATAAAATTGAACCTAAAATGGATATTATAATAATCTGAACAAGTAATTGTGAAGATTTATAGATATGGACATAAAAAAAAGTTGATTGCTATTTGAATTAAACAAAGATGTGTAGTATATTTTGTGTAAACCATCTACTATAAACAAAGACTCGCACTATTTATCTAAGGAAGCCACATTAATATTTTTCCGAATTAATTCTGAACACTTGAAGTAAATGTTATTTTGGCATGACTTTTATTACACAATAATAAATATAAAACTAATTTTAACTGCAATGAATATTAAATGATAATACGAATTTATGTGTTGTATATATAATATATCATTATATACTAAGTCAGTGTTTGAAAGGTTGGATTTATTCTTAGTTTTTAAATAAACAATGTTTGTTATCTCACCATAACTTGTTCGATTTCTTTCATTAGTATTTCTGTTTTCTTTTCCAGTTGTTTATTAAGTTTTTTGAATTCATTTTCTCTGGCTAATAAGTCATCTGATTCCAGCATATCACTTTCTAGGTTTAACACTTAGTTAAGTTGTTACGGATATTAACGCTAATCGGTAAGCTACAATAAATACTTCGTTTCGTCTCTTAACCTTACTAAAAGAACGGTCTGTCAATTCACAGTTGTTCATATTCTACATCTTTAAATAACAGGCTTAACAACATCGTTGCCATGGTCACACTTCCCATTTACTTTTAGTCATATGAATATCTGACCAAATATTCAACAAGTAGATACAAACGCCATTCTTTTTAACTGAAACTCATTAAAGTTAAGAATTTTTGTGAGAAAATATAATGAAAAACTAAAACAACATTATTAATAAGTTATAGGTTTAAAAAAATATTATAATTTTGTCTTGTTTTGTTGTTGATTATAAAGGTTGTACGCCATCTAGTAGCGGCTAAAGAAATGGTAAAAAGTAGAATAGCAAACGTCAAAAACAGCTGTCTAAGGACCAATCAAAACCAATGTTATGGTTGTCAATAAGCATGGCTCATTCGATGACATTTCCTTGGGCTTTCCATATGATTCCAAACAAAAGATTTGAACTCTTAATGCGATGTAACGATTGTTAGGATGATTCATAAAAAATGAAAAATTAACATACATAGTTTAAAATGTATTAGGAGGTATAAATGCCTAGTAAAACAGTAATTTCCATAAAGTGTCAGAAAGAGAGGGCTAATGTGCAACGGAGATAGATGAAAAGTTTATATCATTTGTGAGATTTTCAATCGATTTACCAATCAGAACGAACTTACCACAGCTGACATTTTTTAGTTCATGGTTGAGGCGAGCGTTGATCGGTCGTTCGCTTATTTTGAAACGGTTTATAATACCTTGAATTAAGATTTGGACTGCGTTTACGCGTCCCGACATTTTGTTAACTGTGCATAATGTATTTGAAGAGAATAAGACACGACTTTCGAAGTGTTATATTATAGCGTAGGTGTTCCGTGTGGGGTTAGATGTTATAGCTTGCTTCAAAAAAGGTGAGTCTTTGTTTTATTTTACTGTAATGCAGGAGGCATTACAACATATGCCTAGATTTCCCTACCACGTATCATTCGTTTTTCCGTATTGTTCGCACAATGCTCTGTTAGTTGATTTCCGTGGAAAGTTAATTTAGCGTATAATCCGACCGAGTCTGAATTCTATAGATAAGTTAGTTTCGTGGTATTTATTTAGTAGTTTTAATACAAAATCAGCTGGTGTGGACAGGTTTTTTTATAACTTGGCAGGTATCCCTAACGGCACTAACAGGTAAAACAGCTGTTTTATTTTATTAGTACTCTTTGACGATAAGCGCTCTTATTTCTTACATGTTAAGAGTGAACTAGTGTTATGTATATACCTTGGCTGGCTTAAGTTGTAAATAGGGACGGCGTGTGTCGATAGTTTTTTTTAATCCGGTTTTTGTAAATCATCGACCTTTGTAATGACCATTTACCTAATGATTTGCAGATGGGGAAAAAAGCAATGCGCAGTTAACACGTGGGGATTTTAGGAAGCTTTAAATATATTTTTGAAAACGTTTCTTTTTCACACAATATTAAGAGAGTAAACACACAGTCTTTTAAATACTAAATATAAAAGTATACCATAGCACTCATGTTTAAGGGAAAAAAATCAAATACCACTACTAAAATACAAACTTGAATTTTGATCCTTTCTGATTGATTACAACAATGTTATCTCAATTCCACCTACATTGTATTGGTCTAGTGACCTATTTAATCTGTCAAATCTGTTATTTTATTCAATATAAAATAAGCTTCTGCAAATAATGCACAGCACAAAAGATTTTTTACATACTTATATGTATATACAATACACATGGGCAAAATTAACAGTTAATGAGTTCAAATAATAATAATAACAAAATTAGAACATAGACTAGAATAACTATTATAAAGTTATAATTATTTATAAAAATTTAAAATGGCCAAGAATCTCACAGATTATTCTCTCTCTTCTACATACAAATTCATTAATTTTTTTTGTTTTAAAGTGGTTATATTGTAGTGTTAATAAAATGCAATATTGTGATAACAAAGTCACAAGTTACATCACCTACATTTACCGTAGCTGTTGGTTAAAATACATTAAAAAGTTTTATGTGATTAGTTATTGTATTTTTGGTAAATAATTTCAGCATTTCAAGCCAGCCGGTGCAATTCTATCACATCTCAGTCAGACAGATACTTACTCTGATGTTGCATTATAGTTTTCCTTTCACATATAGGGCTAGAAACTACTACTACTTTAAGTAATGATTCAGGCCTTGGCCTAGTACTGTTTGCTTCCTATTTCGTCAGAAGGATGTATTTAACATTAATTTATTAATTGCCTAGCGGGAGTTAACGCTCATGTGAATATAACACGCAATGGAAATATATAGAATTTCGCTATTGTTACTGCAGTGTCTACCACTTACTGTGTGTGTTGCAGTGATTGTCCACAATCCGTCTATTGCTGTCTTAATTTCTCCCGGATATCGAACCTTGGTCCCTACTGTCTATAAATGTGATTAAAAACTAACAACTTTTTAAATGTTCGTCCGTTCACGATCATTCAGTTGTACGTATATGTGTTATTAAAACAAAAAGAACTTGGTCATTTTTTTTGTGTTTTTAAATTTTTATCCGTAAATCATTTTAAGTACATTTTATTTACCTCTTCACAATTGCATTTTTTGGGTTAACATGCTGCAGGTGTTGACTATCTTTGTGAGAGGCTGGTGCCTATAATAGAACTCTAGAAGTCCTGTGGTAACAGGTCACCAGTCTTTCATCGAGGACAGAAAATATTCAAAGAGATTATATACTATGTCACTAAAGTCACTAAACTAAACTAATAAACAAAATAAAACTAAAGCATGAATGGTTGTGGGTGTGTAAATTGTGTGTGAAAGAATTTAATTTAATGGAACTCCCTATGTAGTAAATATTATATAGGGAAAAGTTGATTAAACTCTATAATTATCAATGAATTTATCATAGTACGTAGACCTCACCTGGAACATACTATTGATATAAAAATAGTTTATATTCAACAAAATTTTATCAAATGTTGAATTTCAATGGGTCAGATGACAATGACCTATAATTAGATCTAGATCGTGGGTCACGCGGTTTTTTGTCTGGTCTCAGGGTTATCGTTAAAATTGAAATATTTAAAATGCCGTTAGTGATAATTGATGAATCATGAGCGGTGTCGTGAGACACGGGTGGTTAAATGGTGAAATTAGGCCAAGAATTACAAGGCAACAATTAATGCAAATTAAAGTTTATCATCGTTTTGGACATTGGTCTCCTCGCTTAGAGTTTTGGCCTAGTGGCTTTAGTGTGCGACTCTCATCCCTGTGTTCGTAGATCTGAGGCTTATTTCCCCGGCTGTGCACCAATGGACTTTCTTTCTACGTACATTTAACATACGCTAAACGGTGAAAGAAAATATCGTGAGGAAACCGGCTTGCCTTTGACCCAATTAAGTCGACGGCGTGTGTCAGGCACAGGAAGCCTCCTGCCGATCACCTATTTACGTATTAGATTGACAAATTATCATGAGACAGATTCAGAAATCTGAGGCACAGACCTAAAACGGTTGTAGGGCCTTTTATTCTTTTTCGGACTTATTTTCTCCATTGGGGATCATGGAGCAGATCAGCTTCCTTTGCGTTGATATATTTTACCGTTTGATATAAGGAAGGAAAACAATTGAATCATTCACCCAGTTATACAAAGGGCCTAACGAGTTCAATTGAGTCACGCCATTGCCCACACGTGGACACGGGCTTTGTTTGTGTCATAATAATATTATCTATAGCGTCATGGCCGCCATTTTTATAACTATACAAATGTGAAGAGAATGGATTTTTCTTTTAGCCTTTTTCTTACGTGATCGTACTGAAGCTGGTAGTATATATACATACAGTAATCCTCCGTATAACGCGATTCCCGTGTCCCATATGATGCCGTATTTCCCCCTATAACGCGCACGTTTCTCAAGTTTTATTTCTGTAGTATGTGTCACATTCAATTGTGTTATAAAATTAAACTAAATTAACTTTTCGTGTTCGTAGTTTTTGAATTGTTCAAAAAAAACAGTTTTACGAGAATGCTCCTACAACGTGATTTCCTACCGCGTTATAAGGGGGCTTACATTATATCAGACTGATATGCCTTCAGCGATCCAGTTATCGCAAAGTGGGCAATACAATCGATGTTGAATTATTAATCGTCCTGTTCCAATTTTAGCCCGTGTCGTGGCCCTTTGGAGAGTTCTGTGACCTCAGGCGCTGTTCTTTGTAACTGGCCTTTATTGATTGGACTATACATTGGGCTGTAAATGATGGAAGCATATTTAAGTCTACAGTTGAGCGACTCTATCTGTCGTAGTCACCGCCAGTTCAACATTACAATCTAGATATTTATATATCTGCTGCACATGCATGCAAAATTAAGGCCTTTTACGAAGAGACATTCATTCATTCTCTCTCCCGGTGGAGAGAGAGGGAGATATGACCTCCAATTGTTTAAGAGTATACTCCTCCCTCAAAGGGTGTCCATACGCTGTGATGACTGGGCTTTTTGGACGTCCCGTAGACTTGCCTCGCGTTTGCCTCTTATTATATTATGTAAAAAAAACAGTGAACTAAATATTGAAAAGTATAACATTTATTTAAATTGTAAATTGTACATACAGGAAGCTGTAATATTATGCAAAGTTGAAACAAAGAAAAGACACACTGCGTACCATGGCCCTGACATTAAAAGATTATTAACAGCGTGTTTATTTATTAAATGTTATGCTATAACCAAAAATTATAAAAATTTTGTATAAAATATGTAATTTTCGTCTTGCAATCAGGAAGTAATCTAATATATATAAAATTCTCGTGTCACAATGTTCGTTCCCATACTCCTCCAAAACGGCTCGACCGATTCTTATGAATTTTTTTATGCATATTCAGTAAGTCTGAGAATCGGCTACTA